TAGTGTTTTTGTTTGGGTTTTAATTTAATTCGAATCATGGACCTGCCTTGACCTCTGAGTTAGTTCCACGACGCTCTCGCTTTGACTGACTCAGTTTTTCGTTTCAACTTGACCGTCCTCTTCCTCTTCCTCTTCTTCTTCCTCTTCTTTTTTTTTCGCCTTCCTTTTTTGTGAGAAGAAGGATTTGTTTGTTTGTTTGTCTGACTTATAAAAAACTTAAAAAAAAAATTAAATTATTATTAACTTATTATTATTACTAATAAAATGTTTAAGAGAAGAATATATAATATTATTATTATTATTATTATTTTTTTTTTGGTAGCATACGATGATTGTTATGATGATGGGAAGTGGGGGGCCATGTGGATAACAAGGGTAAAATATTTATTATTCGTAAGGAAACAATGAAGGCAAAAAAAAAAAAACAACTCAAGGAAAACTTGCGAGGATTATTAACATACGCACTCACGCGCACGCACGCACATAAAACTCGATAAAAAACTATAATTAATTTTTTTTTTTTTTTTTTATTAAAAATGTAGAATTAATAATAATAATAATAGTACGTCTCAAGGACTAAGGTTAATGTTTTATATTTAATTTAATTTTTTTTTTTTTAAAGTAAGGTACGTTTCAGGTAAATATTTGTTGTTGTTGTTTTTGTTATTATTATTATTATTATTTTTTTTTTTTTTAAAATGTTTTGAAGGAATTAAGTGCATGCACGCTTGCCAATTTTAAAAAAAAATTTTCGATGGTAGAAAAAAATAAATTGATTTTGATGATTTTGGCAATCGGAAAAGGGGAACGAAACGAACATTTCGGATATTTTATTATTATTTTTTTTTGGGGGGGGAGGAGAGGGGAGGGGATGGTATTATTGCATCTTTTTATTTTAGGACGTGTCGGTTAGTTTCGTTACAACTATTCGAAATTTAAATGAGATGTTTTTTGTTTGTTTTTGTCGAAAAGTTTGTTTCCCAAAAAAAAAAAAAAAAAAAAAAAAATTTGTCTGGACTTTCTGAACTTTTTCCCGCCTCTTTCCCTTCGATCTTAATTAAAACACACTTTTCAAAACTTTTTTTAAAAAAAAAATTGTTGTTTCTGAGTGCGTGAGTGCGTGCGTGCGGTTGTCGCCTTGCGATTAATCTCTCGGGTTCGATATCGCGGTCTTTAACTTCTTTGTTCGTTTGTTTGTTTGTTTGTTCGTTTGTGTTACGTTTTGTTAATATGAATTAATATATTAAAATATTTGTCGAGATGATAAAATTAAATTTGGTTGGTTTGTGCGTGAATTCGTGATACGCGAAAGTTTTACTCAAAGTTGCGTTCTATCATCGATCATCCAACGGATTTCGTTCGTAACGTTAAGAAAATACATTTGTTCGGTTTTAAAGTTTTAATTAATTAATTAATTTTTTTCTGGGGGGCGGGAGCGTGGACGGGGAAGATGGGAGGAAAGGGAGAGAAGGGGAGAAACGAAACCGACGTGGATTTTTTTTTTTTTTGTAATCGTTATAAATAAATAAATAAAAAATTTGCAAGTGTTTGGTTTTTTGTGTCGCAACTGTTGTTAACACGTTTAAATTTCAAATTTATTGTTTTTTCGGGTTTTGCCACCGTTTAATTACAATATCATTATATTTTTGTTTTTGTTTTTCTAAAACTATAATTCTAATGTTGTTGTTGTTTTTGTTTTTGTTTTTACCTTTTGCTTAAACTTTTCAAAATGTTATTATATTACCTTTCCTTATGTTGCCCCTATTTTTCTTTTTTGTCTCTCGTTTTATTTATTTATTTATTTATCATCATCATTATCATTATTATTATTATTGTTGTTAAAATAGTTTTTCTTAAAATAGATGAAGAAAGAGAGAAAGAAAGAAAGAAAGAAAGGAAAAAAATCATGGCGGTTATTTAAATTTTTTTAATAACAGTTTTTTTTTTTTTTTTTTTTATAAAGTGAATGAAAGAAATGAATGAATGAAGCTTTTTAAATTTTACATTCGAATTTTAATTCGCGTCATTTAAAATAAAATTTTGTTTAATTGATTGGGATAAACAATCGGGAGGGGGAGGGGAAATAATTTCGTCGACTTTACGGAGATTTAAAAACGGTTTGCGTTTCTCCGTCGAATAAAATAATTAATTAATTAATTAATAATCGGTATTAATCACGTCGAATAATATTAAAAATGATCACGATAATAATAATAATAGTTATTAATAAGGGAGCGATGAATGTGACTGATGCATCCTGGCAATTGGAAAATAACAAAAAAATTTTTTTACCCTGGCGAAACGTAATTTTTTAAAAGAATAAAAAATGTTAGGAAAAAAAAAAAAATCGAAAAAAACTCAAACAAAGTGTAATAAAATGCAGGAAATTAGCGCCGAATAATATCAAAAAAAGGAAAAAAGGAAGGAAAAGGTGGAAAATAAAAAAAATCAGTCGGTAGGAAATGAAAGAAAATTTTCAAAGGAAACCGTGAAAAATAAGTCAATAATAAGTCATATATAACTTTTCAATTTTATTTTTTCAAATATAAATTAAATTTGTTTTATCATCATCATCATCATTATTATTAATATTTCATTTTTAAACGCGACAATTATTATTATTATTATTATTATTATTATTTTTTTTTTTTTATTGAAAAAATAAAGGAAACAAAATTGAAAATTATTCATTTGAAATTGTTTTAAATAATACAATTTCGCAAATTTGTTTATTTATTTTTAAATTCAAGTAGTTGGCAGGTACCACCAACAGGTACCATTATATTATTATTATTATTTTTTAATTAACCAAACCTTTCTTCGTCTCTCTCTTTCCCCCTCTTCCTCCCTCTTCGTCTCTTTTTAATAAAGAGGTTGTATTTTTTTTTCTCCAAAATATTTAAAGAGAACATAAATTTTATTATTATTATTATTGTAGTTGTTTGGTAACGAAGCATTTGTATTGTTTTTATTGTTTTGCCCTCTCCTCTTCTTCCCTCCCCTCTCCCCCGCAAAAATTTACAATTTTTATTTTTATTTTTTACGTTTTGTCCGCTTCGAAATTAAATTTTAAAATGGGGGGAAAATGTAGAAAAAAAATAGAATTTTTATTATTGCGTTAACTTTAATAAGTTATTTATTTATTTTTTTTTATCGGTCGAAATAACTTTTATTTTATTTATTGATTTTTTTATTAAAAATAAAATGAAAAAGGTAAAAAATTAAATGAGTTTACCTTCATTTTTTTTGAGGGAAGTTGCAGATTTTTATTGTTTTTTTTTTTTTTTTTTATCTCTGTGCAGACGATTGTGTTTTCTACCCCTCCCATTCTCCCCTCCCCTCCCCCATTCCCTCCTTTCTCTTCTCCATAAATTTTATTCTGGAAAAAAAAAATATTTTTTTTTGTTATGCACATATCTTTTGCGATTATTTTCTCTCTCTCTCTTTATCTCTCCAGCCGTGAAATTATTATATTCATATTGCACTTGCAAGTTTTTTTTTTATTTTTATAAATAAATAAATAAAGTGATTAAAAAATTTTTGTTTGCATACAAGAGAGAGAGAGAGAGAGAGAAAAAACTCGAAATGAATAAAATACATATACGTATAGAAACGTAAACTTGATTTGAAAAAAAAAAAAAAAAAAAAATGGCGGCGGGGATGGGGGTGGCGAACTTGTTGTGGAAAAAAAAAAAAAAAAAACAAAAAAATTTTATTTACTCTTTTCCTTTTTTTATTTTATTTTATTTTATTTCATTTTATGTGTTTTTATTTTTTTTTATTTTTCGGTCGGCCCACCAATGGACCACCAATAATAATAAACTCAAGAGCAACAACCAAAAAAAAAAAAAATTTTTTTTTTTACTCTCACGGCGGAGTTATTAAATTATAAACCTTGATTTTTTGGAACCTGAAATGTGAAGCCTGAAAGGTTTTTTTTTTTTTTTTAAATAAAAGTTATTGCTCAGATTTGACTTACCGTTACGTCAAAAAAAATATAATATTACCAATTTATTATTATTATTATTATTATTAAGAATCGTAATTTTTTTTTTTCTTCCTTTGATTTCTTCCTTTTTTCGCGGTGAAAATTTTTTTTAAAATTTCTTTTAAAAAGTAAAAAAAGAGAGGAGATGAAAAAAAAAATTCATCTCATTTTGAAAAATATGCTTGTGGATAGATGATGAATAAGGAGAATGAAATGAAGTCTTCCCCCCCCCCTCTCTCTCTCTCTCTATCTCTCACTTTTTCCCTCTCACTTACTGGAAAATTTTTTTTTTTTATATACAAACCTTTTAATTGTTTAAAATTTACAGAGTTTGAACGTTTTTTTTATTTTTTGCAAATAAAAAATAAAGGTTTGCGGTTTTTTATTTATTTATTAGGTTTTATTTTTTAAAAACGCTTGATATTAAATTAAATTTTTGTTTTGGCGGGGTGAGGGGAGGGGAGGGGGAAGGCAGGAAGGGAGGATTTAAGCGTGAAACTTTTTTAACCAAAACGTAATATTATTAATTTGAAAATATTCCAGAGACGGAGAGGATCATTTGTAAGGTTTTAACTGACCTTTACCCCTTCCCTATTTTCCCAACCTTATATATTTGTTTATTTTCGTTTGAATTTTTGCGCGCCAAAAAAAAAAAAAAAACGTGTAATTAACTTCATCCTATATGAAACCTTTAAACTTGATTTCGATGGTTAGAACGACGGGGAGGGAAATTTTTATTTACTCTATGACTTTTTTTTTTTCCCTGCAAGTGTGAAACTTATACGCAAGTCGTCATCGTCGTCGTCGTCGTCGTTTTATTTATTTACTTTTAAAAGTGCGACACAGATTTATTTTGTTTGTTTTAATTCTTTTTAATAATAATAAAATAAAATAAATAAATGATAAAACTTCTTGTGAAATAGATAATAATTAAATGCATAAAATAATCTCAGTGGTGAGGAACGATTCGGTGTTTCAAGTGTGATAGACTTTATTTATTTCTAATGAAATCATGTTTGTTTTAATGGCGTTTATAGTTTTACTTTCGAATCGAGTCTCTCAAACGGATTGCATTGATATATTCGACGAAAATGAGGATGAAGACGACGACGGCGACGAAAACGACGGAAGAGCAGTAGTAACGTTGTCGCCGTTCGCAAACGATAGTTTTTCAGAATGGACTTTGTTCGACGGCATGGAAGCTGAAGAAAACGAATTTAATTACATGGTTTACGTCATAAGGTACGACAATGGAAAACTTTGCAGCGGTTGCCTCGTGTCAACGGATTTAGTATTAACGGCTGGATATTGCATAGCGAAAGCGAATCGGGATCACGTCATGGTCGCGGGTGGAAAATCTCACCTTTCGAGTTACTTGCTCGAAAGAATGAACACACCGTTTGATAAAATCATTGGATTTAAATATTTGGTGGAAGAAAGGAAAGCTTGGAACGTTTTCGTTCATCCCAAATACAACAAGCATTTTCCTCATTTTGCAAACGTCGGATTTGTAAGGATCAAATATTCGTTCAGTAAAAAATTGGTGCCGATTACGGTGGCAACAAGTAAATATTATTTTTTTTACTCTCTCTCTCTCTCTCTTTCTCGCCTAACGTCTAAAAAAAAAAAGTGCTTCCTTCGTGAAATAAAAATTAAAAAAAATTTTTACCCTTACGTTTCAGAAAATGTCAGAACCCTAAATAATTGCACGTTGGTCGGTTGGGGATTCGCCGATAACACGAATTTGTGGGGGACTCTTTTTTATCTATCTCATAAAAGAGCTAGAATCGCATATAAAGGGGGTAAAAAAACGGACGCGTTTTTTCGCGTTTACAACGTCGAGAAAAATTTGAGCAAATGTCCCGAAGATATGGGAGGACCTCTCGTCGCGGATGGTAAAGTTTGGGGAGTCGCATCACACACAAAATACGATTTGAAAAACACGGGAAAATGCAATGGAAATTATCAAGTCGTGTACACGAGTTTGCATCCATTCGACGATTGGCTAAATAAATTCATATACACGGAAAACGTTGGCGGAAACGAATTGAAATCCGATTTTAAAATAATCGGAATTGCAATTTTTTTTTGTTTCCGGTCGTTCCTAGGTTAGGTTAAATAAGCGTTGATTTTTTATTTTGACAATGATGATGTTGCCAACTTGAAAAAACGTTCTGTAAAAAAGAAAAAAAAAGTTACGATTAATAAATCGACCCGACTCTCGAAATGTTTTCCGAACAAGATTTCGTAGAGAGTTGGTGAGTAACTCCGAGATTAGCAAGGAAACCGGTAACCGAATCGGAAGTGGAAAAGAAGAGGAAAAACAGGAGAAGGAAGTCGGAAAAGAATGAAATCCCCTTTCTTCCCTGTTCTCTCTCCTTCTTCCTTCCCTCTTCCCCCTTCTTTTTATTTTCTTCAACGAAGAACAAGAAAAAGTTTCTTTTTTCACGACGATGACCGAGTAAGGATTATTATTTAGCTTAAAGTTACTCGAAATCAAAGTTATTAGTTATTTGTGCACAACAAAAAAAAAAGTTTACGAAAACTTTTGAAATTTTTCTCGCAAAACAAAAAAAAAAAAAGCAATAAAACAAAAAGAAAAAGAAGGAAAAGAAAAAGTGAGGAAGAAAGATTTTTTCCCGTTGCGGGAGGGGGAAGGGGAGGGGAGCGGAGTGGAGGGGGAAAGATAAAACGCGGTTTGGGGAGAACCTTTTAACTTGTTTTCCCTCTCCCTGTCCAGTTTTACCATCTTTTTTCTTTAAAGACTTCATTTTTATAAAAAGGAAAAACTCTCGAACCATTTTTATTTTTATTTTTTTATTTTTACTTTTTTTCGCCGACGGTGGAAAAAGGAAAAAAGGAAAAAAAAGAAAAGTGTCTGTGTGTGTGAAACTCTGTTTAAAGTTTTTCATTTTCCATTCCAGTCGAAAATTTTCCTTTTTCCTTTTTTTTTTTTTTGTTATTGTTTGCGTCATTATTACTAATTGGAAAAAAAGTTACAACATTGAAATTGATCTAATATGGCGTTTCGTGACAAATAAAATTATTGTTTCTTTAATTTTTTTTCTTTTTTTTCTTCTTCCTCCCCCTCCTTTTATTTCCCCCTTCTTCCTTCTTCCTTTTTTTTTGTTTCTCTTTTATTTTTATGTCTTCTATCTTTCTCTTTCTCTCTCTCTCTCTCAAACGTCAAAACCATTCGAAATGTATATATATGTATTTTTTTTTGTTTTTTGTTGTTTTTCTTTTCACTTTTTTTGAAACGACGGTTATTAGAATAATAATAATAATAAAAGTTTTTTTTCGTCCTCCTTCCCCTCACTTTTTCTTTTTTTCCAGTAGGAAAATTTTTAAATTTATTTCGTTTAAAAAAAAAATGAAATAATGAAACATTTTAATTTTGAAGTTGAGTAAAAAGAGGAAGAAGAAGAAAAAAATGAATCCCCTCCCTCTTCCTCCCCTTTCCCCTCCTCCTCGGTTTCTTCCCACTTATTCCCAACTTTTTTTTCTTTTTCTTTCTTTCTTTCTTAACCCGTAACTATTTTTGCTCATTATTCTTGACGTTTTACCGAACAAATTTGAAAAAGAAATTGCAGGGAGGTTTTTTCTTTCAACCCTCTTTCTTTTTCTTTCTTTTTTTTTTTTTTATATAATTTTGATTTTGCTGCCGTTGCAATATGGCATCTTTCTTTCTTTTCATTCTTTTCTTTTATTTTTTTTTATTTTTTATTTCTCTCGCACACACACATACAAATTCTCTCTCTCTATTTCTTTCTTTTTTTATTTCTTTATCATTTTCAAATTTAGATAACGCTTCTTGTATGTATTGGATGTCAAGAGTATTTTTTTTTCTTCTTTTTTTCTCGGGATAAATTTTGAATTGATGTGTCAAAAAAAAAATATATTTCTTGTGTGCGTGTGTGCGTGTGCTTGTGCGTGGGAGTGTTAGAACGTTGCAAAATTTTTGAAAATGTCATCAATTTTTACGGTTTTTTTTTTTTTTTGGGGGAAAAACTTAAAAATTTTGATTTATTTATTTGAGTATTATTATAAAAGGTAAGAAAATAAATAATGATAATGATATCGTAGATTTCCATCATCATCATCATCGTCATGATAGGTCGACGTAGTAAAACGTACGAGGGGGAGGGGAAAGGGGCGAGAGACATTTTTCCAGCAGACATTTTTTTTTTTTTTTTAATTAAACAAAAATGATTTTGTTTAATAATTAAAAAAAATCGTCAAATAATTTCGTTTGATTCGATGTGTTGAGTAGCAGAAGACGAATTGTTTTAAGGTTTAAATTAAATTGTAATTCCCACGAATTGTTGAAAGATTAAATGTAAGGTTTTTAAATGTAATCTGTGGGAAAGTTTTTGTTAAAAAATTCTCACTTTCTGTTTTTTTTTCCTCTTTCTTCTCTTTCCTCTTTCATCGACTCTTTAAATATCTCTTTCGTTTCTTTTTTTAGAAAAAAAAATTTCAAGTCTGAATTTTCGCCCTTTTTTCCTTTCCTTTTCTTTCTATACTTTGCGTACTAGAGGGCAAATGTCTCTCCCTTTCTCTCTCCCCTCTCCCCTCTCTCGCACGCTCATATTCTTTAAAAATTTTTTTTTTTTTTTTGCAACGAATTTCCAATTTACACATTGTAATTTTTAAAAAATATGCGTAATAATGTCTCTTTTGTTGTTGTTGTTGTAAAAAAAGGATGAATAAGACCCCTCGAGGTTTATTTTTAGAAATACGCGCGTTTGTATGCACGCACGCACGCACGCACTCACGCACGTAACGCGTATGATAAGTTATTAAATTTAAAACTTGAAAAAAATTCGTTTTGATGCTATGTAAAAAAAACTAAAAAAACTAAAAACAACAACAACAACAAAAATTTTTTTTTTGAACGTTTAACTATTAAATTTAAATAGTTCCTTAAAGCAATCGTGTTGGGAAAAAAAAAGTTCCGTTATTTTTTATTTTTATAAAAAACCTTGTCTATAAATTAAAAGTGGATATATATTGATTAATTTACGATTTTTTTTTTTTTTTTTAAAGCCTAAGAATTATAATGATTAAATTAGCATAAACGAAAAAGTCGCCATATTAACGAAAACCGTTGAAAATTATTTAAAAGAAAAAAAAAATTAGTCGTCGTTTACATTGGAAAAAAAAAAATTTTCTCTCTCTCTTTACTCTGTCTCTCTCTCTCTATGTATCCCCGAGTGATTATTTATTTATTTATTTATTATTATTATTTTTTAATTAAGGAAAATTATTTTATTATTCTATGGAAAAATAATCCGGATTCGTTTGATTTTATTTTTATTTTTTTTATTTTATTTTTTTGTTGTCATCGTTTTCGAATGTTTTATTACGACGGAGGAGGAAGAGAGGGAGGAGGGGTAGGGGTGGGAAATTAATGGCTTGACGTGTAGGAGTACAAAAAAAAAATCGAAACCTCGGAAGGAAAAGGTTTTATAAAATGTAAATAAAGGTGCGAAGAAAAATGAAAAAAAAAATGTTCGCGATCGTGAATGAATATTTTTGTCGGGTGCGGGGAGCAGGGGCGGGGAGCAGGGACGCGGGGGAGTTTAATTGAGAAAAAGAAAGAGAAAATTGTTTTGCTTTCTTTTTCTGAATAAAAATGGGGGAAGAGGGAGGGAGGGATTTTTTTTTTTTTACATTTTTTTTTTTGCGGAAAAGGGTGCGACGACGATCCTCAGAAAAAATTTATTTTCATTGCCATCATCATCATCATCATCATCATCAGTGTTATTTAATATTTAAATTTGGTAAATTTAATTTTAAACCATATAGTAATAATAATAATAATAATGATGTCGATTGATAAAATGCAACATTTTACTTTTACCTACCCTTTGTTTCGGTTTAAAAAATAAATATTTAAATTGTTTTCGGTTGTTGTTGTTGTTGCTGTTGTTATTTTTTCGTTTTGTTTATTGTTTTGTTTTACCGAGTAAACAAACATTTAAATTTATTAAAATGTGTGTTTTAAATTCTCGGAATGACCGAAAATAATAATGATAATAATGATGAAAAGAGAACGAACGAGTCATATTTATATATACGTTATAATTTAAATTTATTTATTTTCTCCTTTTTTTTCCGGCCTTTCAGGTGAATCCAAAAATTTTCTTTTTTTTTTTTTTAGGCGACGTCATTAATTAAATATGTATGCCATTAAATAAATAAATAAATAAAATGAACTGTTATAAAACAAGATACGAAATTATTATTAATTTAAATTTTTTTTTTTTTGCTCGAAGGAAACGATCGAGAAGACTTCGCGCACCACAAATTTCATCCACAAGTTCAAATCAAATTTATTATTATTATTATTTGTATTTTTATGTGCTTGAGCGTGTGCGTGTGGGTGTGCGTGTGCAAAAATGATCGTTTTTATCGAAACGAATATACTCCATATTTGGGAATTTTTTTTTTTTTCTTTTTCTTTACGACATAATTTAATGGTAAATTGTTTTATGGTGTAACGATGGTTGCATAATTGTTTTTTAGCAGGCGTTTTATTTTTTATTTTTATCATCATTATTATTATTTATTTTTTATTAAGGATAAGGTGAAGGATATTTTGTTGGGGGGCGGTCGAAAAATCGATATATTTTATTTTCCTACTTTTTACTTTTTTTTTTTTTTTTTTTGTTAAAAAAGATTTTCCACGTTTGTTTGTTTGTCGGATTGTACGTTGATGACACACGCACGATTAATTTAACAACATATTTGTTGCATTTTATTAAATAAATTAAATTTTATTATTATTATTATTTTTTCGGTAGGGGTTTAAACGAGAAAACTAGAAAACCGGAAATGAATCGCAAACGTTTGATTTTCCTCGTGGCCGGGAAAGAAAAGAAAAGAAAAACACGATGTTGTTCTCCTTTTTTTTATTCGTTGTTGTTCCTGTTGTTGTTTGAGTAATGAAAACGTGCCGTCGTTTTGTGTCAAATGTATTATTATTATTATTATTATTATTATATTCAAAAGGGAAAAGTGGAAGAAGGAAGGAAAATAAAAATGCCTTAGGAAGAGGTTTTTTTTTTTTTTTTTTAAATGTAAAAGGGTGTCGTTTTGAAAATGTCTATAATGCGCAAACTCGAGTTGGCCATCAACCGTATTGAACTTTTATCGTGCCAACAGACAATAAGATGTATGTATGCACACGTAGTAAATGTTTTTTTTTTCCCGTCTGCTCCTGCTGCTGCTGCTCCTGCTCTTGCTCTTTTAAAATACAAAATTCTATTTGAACCCATTGAAATTAAAAATAAAAAAGAAGAGAAAGAGAGAAAACATTTTTTATGCATTAAAAATTATCATGGGA